CGCACATTCAGGTTTTTAAGATGGTCTCAAACCAGATCCTCTCCTACAGTGGGTCCAAGGTCTTCATTCTCACAGTCCCTGCATCTGCCTTCCAAGACTTGGATGGTGTGGTCAGAGCCTTTGCCAGTGAAGACTGAGGCAAAGAAGTCTTTAAGAACCTCAGCCTTCTCCAAATCCAGGGTAGCCAGTTCTCCTGTTAGCTTCCAGAGAGAGCCCACATTGTCCCGAGTCTCTTTTATTTGCAGTGTAGCTGTAGAATCCCTTCCTATTATTCTTAACATCCCTAGCCAAGTTTAATTCTAACTGGGCCTTAGCTTTCCTAACCTGGTCCCTACCTCCCTGGACAGCATCCCTGTCTTCTTCCCAGGCCGCCCATCCTTGCTTCCGCCTTTTATAAGCCTCTTTTTTCCCTCGAAGTTTCCTCAGCATTCTTGATCTTTTAACAATTCAAAATGTAATTAATTAAATGTCTGCATACAGTGATATAACATGAAAAACTGAAGATTTCCAAGGCAGTTATAAGTATCTGATTATTTTAATGGGCTGTTCAGGTATTTCCATTTCAAGGAATTGTGTAACAGTTTCTCTCCCTATGGTTTTACCTGACTGGGTTTAAACCACGACAATTATAAGAAGACCTAAATATAAGGGAAAAATTTTATTTAGAGTTGTGTGCATTTGTGCATGAGAGTGTGTGCCTACTAGTAGGTATGCAATGACAGTAATAGCTATTATATTTATAGGACTTTCCACCTAAACTAATATATCCAATTAATGTATTTTCCTTTGATGTCACAAGTATATTTGAGCAAGAGACTATTGTAAGGAAAATTCCAGGAGAACTACGAGAAAGATTTGGTTTCTCTTTAACCATGGATGGGTAACATACATCAGAATGGCAAACCACTAATGCAAAAAAAAAAAAACCCAAATGAGCAGTGCTTAAATAACTGCTGCATTTTAGAATGCTTATATTTGATATTTGTGTGTTAATACACTATAGAGAAAATTGCTACAGTTTGAAACATAAAGGAATTGTATACATGATGGCAATGCAGTGGAATAGAGTCATCTAAAGTAACTTCTGTATGGATAACATCGCACTGAAGTTTGCCCAGTTAAAGTTGCCAAATGAAAAAACAACTAAGATTCCAAAGCATAAATTGTGCAGTTTATGTTTGTTAAGTATAGTTTGAATCCTGTCTTAGGAACATCTTACCTAACTATGTATTTAATGCTGCTCACTAAATGAGGAGAGTATTGATTGGCATATGCTGCTTAAATCGATCACCTTGACAGCCAGAATTACAGTAATCTGTCAGTATTAATGACTGTCTTTCAAGTCTTGATACCTCTCCTTCACTTGTCTCATCTTGTCTCACTTCTGTTTGAAGTGCATTTTCTTGCAGCCTGTGGTTTTGTCAGGGTAGGTACTTCTGTAGTGGTTTTTTTGTCTCCCGAGTCAAATTTATTGGCTTGATCATGCAATTAGAGTTAAAATGCAACACCAGGGAGCAAAAGTAGGCAGTGTTCTGAGTAACAATTGGACCTCAGAGGTAATGCAAGCCTGTTCTCAGCCATCATTTATTAGTTACCTGTTGAAAGAACAGGATTGTTTTGCACGAAATAATTCCAAAGCATCACTTTAAATGCCTTTGATTCTAGCCACTAGAGACAATTGATTGAACCAACGTTTGTGATGGTTTTTTAAACTCTTGCCCTAGTTCTTATCATACAGACACTTAAGTAACTGCTGGAGAAATACTTGCAGATACGTGTACCAAGCCACTCGTTTTACTGCATTTTCATGTTGACATACATACACATAATTTCAATTGGTTTTCATGCATTTTTAATGAGGAGTAAATTGAAGTGTCAAAACTTGAAGGCTGTGCTGTAATGTATATTTTCATATATATAGTCTGAGCTTTTTAGCAAAACACACATATATACTTTGATTTAGCAGCAGTTCTGGATTGTACATGTTCAGGTAAATGTATTTTCTTCAGTAATTGCTCTGCTTCTAATCCCACAGAACCTGCTATCTCTACCCCATGTAGCTCTCCTGTGTCTACATCTTCTTACAGGCTATCTATGAACGAGGATGCTGGAAGCACTTGTTAAAGAGGTATAGTGTAAGCGCATGGGTTAAAAGGTATTAATGTTGTTGTCATCACAAAATAGCGATGATTTATTTTACAACTAGTAGGTATGGCTTTTTTTATTAGTTACTCTTCCCTAATGAAATGAATGAAACTCTCTTGAAAGTGGTAAAAAAGCAGATTACCAAATGAGACAAAACTGATTGACTCTAGCAATAAAATTTTCTGCTAATAATTGCATTTATAAAAGGCTGAGTGCTCTGTTGATGTTGTAAACAGAGAACTCAGCAACAGATTTGAGTCTCTCAAATCTGGGAGCTCAAATCTTTCTGTACTATTAATATATTCTAGGTTCTTTTACGTCTACATTCTTCCATGAATTGAGTTTACCCATCTGAAGGGGAATATTGGTTCTACTCATTTCTGTATAAAATATGCGTAGGTTTATGCCACTGTCATTCTGGTTTAGAATAAAAGGACGTCAGTGGGCTACTTGTGAAAGGCAGTGAAGTACTTTGTCAGCCTTCAGGAAATTCTGAATCTGTCAGTACCAATCGCTTGAAGGAGGGGTGTTCTTTGTTACTGCGTCTTTTTAGGATAGGAAATTTTTGTATGCTGTAAGCTGGAAGTTAGTAGAGCAATCATTCTTTCATTATCAAATCTGTTTTAAATGTGGATACACCCCTCTTTTTTAAAAATTTGCAGGGAGAAGCTAGGAGTCCTTAAACTGGAATGAAAAAGATAAACTAGTTTAATCTTTTGCAGATTCATTGCCTTGTACATAACACAAAATGACAGGGTTGTTGTTAATACCTACTTAACCTTTTTAATTAATTAAACATTTTGGGTAACAAAAGCCCTTTGTTAAAATGTTAAGACTCTTGCCCCTTAAGGTGTTAAAATTCATGCAGATTTCTTTGATAGCTGTCAGAAGTCTGTGAATAAAATCAGGGAAGATTAAACAGTTTTTCCTGACATTCCTAAGATTTAAACAAAGAAATGTTTTTAAACTATTTAAAAATTTAAATGTTTATGTTGCAAAAGACAGCGTTGTTTATTGGTTTAATCCTTTCCTAGTCATAATTTCACCCCTAATAACAGAAGTGACTTGCAAACAACTTGGAAGATTTGTATGTTAAAATGCTAAAAAATGTGTATATATAAAAAACAAGTATATACCATTGTGTAGGGTTGATTCTGGTATTTAAATTGGTCGGAAATGTGGGTGATTATTTGTAACAAGCAAAACTAACGAACAGTGATATCTGTGAGACAGAGTGATGTTTTCAAGTGAGTTGAATAAGATATTGGCAAACAGTTTCTGCATCATTCTGCATATGGTAATCAAGAGAGTTGGGTCATGCTTTCCAGTGCCAACAGTGGGATTAGAAGATGATAGGTACCAAAAAAAATGGGGAGATTAATAGAAACTAGCATACTGGTTGTCTTTTGTTCTCTTATAGGTCTGTATTTCAGTTACTGAGAAAAGGAGTTATATATAATACCATTCAGTATATGGAAACATCTAGCAGGAAATGGAATGTACTTCACTAATTAAACAGGTTGAAATTTTAACAAAAAGGATGTATGTATATACTTAATAGAAAAAAAATAACATAAAGCAAGGATTAAAAGTTAGTATTACAGTAATTGGAATTACCATATGGTAGTCGGAAGGACATGAGTCCTAATCATGCCCTGGCCAATCAAATTAATCTCAGTATAGTTTCTGGGCATTGAGAATATAGTTTAATTGCTGATTAACTGCACCTGAATAGATCTGTGGGTCACAAACGTATCTATCTCCTTCTGAATGCTTCTCCTCCCAAACACTGAAGAATGCAGGCTGTTAGAAAATCTTTTAATTTCTGGTTGCCAAACCCTAGTTACCGTCCATCTGTTCTTGCCAATTGTGGAAAAAGGTCAGTTTTCAGCAAAGCCATGCATTTCACAGAAGGTATGTGAAGTGAAATTTCACAGGGGACATGATGCATCCTGATTCTTAGTGATAAACCTTTGGGGCCAGCAGGGTTGGCATATGGTTCAGCATGATACGAAGGCTTGGGTTCCATGGCTTCACTTCTTTGGCGCAGAACTGATAAAACCTGGCTCTTAAGTATTGTTTCACTGGACACCAATCATGGGCAGCAGGAACTGCCCATTTAACTCTCTGTGGGAAGGAAGCCCAGGCTGTGTTCACAATAGTACTATTGTAGTGCTGCAAACTGCTCTCAACAGCTTGGCAGCACTAGGGAGGAGGGCGAAAGGGGTGCTTTACTAATTGCCCTTCAAAATAAAGAAAGAGGGAGGTAACTGAAGGTTAATATTTGTTTTCTTCATTTAAATAGAAGAAGCCTGTCTTTGAGTTTTAAAAATAATTTTTAAAATCAACTTGGCTGCCCTCCGGCATGACTTATAAGTAGATTATCTCATACCAGAATTGCAGCAACCCAGGGTAAAGCAAAAATACTCTCTTCAAAGAGAGAAGAAAAAAAGAAAAGTAGTTGTCAAGCTTGTGTAGTTTTAGAGTCTGTAGGGATGTCTTCATAAAGGGCATTTCCTTTACTGTTTCCTCATCAATTAATATGTCTGTGTATGCAGAGAAGGTATTTAAAGTAGAAATTCAAATATTTGAATGTATGAAAATAGTGGGCTTAAACATTCATCTGTAACCAGGGAGTGATGAGCCAGTTTTCCTTCTCTGTTTTTACACTCATCAGCCTTAATTACTCGAGTTAAAACTGATGTAGTGCTGAGTGACAGTAGGGATAAATCCTTTCCCAAAATCAGGAATTAGTATGTGGGGCTGCAGTTCCCCCAGCCTGTACTATTTCATGTTATCTGTGGGCAGAAGTGATGACTACAGCACCTTAACATCTGTCATTGGCACCCTTGCAGCATCTTTAATAAACTTCAGTCCGGTGGCCCGCTGGCTGTGCCTGTGCCTCCCCTGCTGCGTCCTGCAAAGCCAGCGCAGCCAGGTAAGCGGCTGCATGCCAGCGAGGCTGGCTGCTGGCAGGAGCATTGCTCCAAAGAGTGCCTGAAGCACTGGCAGCTGTAATGGGCTTCAAAACAATTAGCACAACATACCTTATATGTTCATCGATTGTCTTGGATACATTAGTAAGACAAAGCCTCCCTGGACATTGGAGTAGGAATCCTGCCTGTGTAAGGGCTTCAGCACTGTTTCCTTCACTGTTTTGTTTTCACCTCCACAACCTGTTACTAAAATATGAATGGGGTATTTGTAAATACTGTAATTTTCTTCTAACCACACAGTCAGTAAAGTTAATGAGTAATCTGTTACTGTGCTGAGGTATTTGTCCTTGGGATGAGGCTAGTAATTTGTCCTTACTTACCTTTTTAATTTGATGCCACAATGCAGTACCAGCAATGCACAAAATCAACAATGCACAATAAATGGTACCAAAACAGAGATTTGCTACTATATGTTTGTATTAATATGCTCCTGCTATATTTCAAACAGATAATTCATTGAATGCCCATTCTTCCTCTTACTGCAGAGAAGATTATATTTAAGTCAAGATTAATGGGTAGATTCTGATGTTAAAACCCAGTCTCTGAGCCTGTCATTCCCTAGAGGCATATAGTGCATTAGTTTAAGCCAATATGCTGCTTATCATAGATACTATGACACTGTCTTAAATGACAGTTTACTGTACTTTGTTACTGCTTACTCTGGTAATAAAATCACTATATTTTGTTCTCGATAATTACAATATTAAATAGAAACTTAATTGGATTACTGCACATTTAGATACAGATAGTTCTTAAGTAATTGTCCACTGTAAAATTTCTGATACTCTTTTTTTTCTACCATACAGTGTTTTCTGTCAGTGCCTAAGCTTAATACTCAGTTCAGTCAGCTGAAAAAGTGCTGAAAAGAGATCTGCAGTGGGCTTTTTCAGTGCAAAGGGAGTATCTATCATACAGTTTTTCACCTGAACCTTGTTGGTCTTTAAATACTTCTGTAAGATGCTTTCATTTGCCAAAGTCCTTAAAATAACATCTGCATTCTACAGAGTTTAAGAATTCAGTAGGATTGTTAATTCAGATTTTTTTTTCCCCTTAATTTTGAAATTACTAGAAATCTGAGCATCAGTTTTGTCATTTTTGCTGCGTAAACAGATGATCGAAATTAGAATTTATTCAGTTCAGTAAATACATACATTTATATGGTTATCTTAAAAAACCCGATTTTTTTAATATAGCTGGGGAGTTTATAGGCTATTCTTATTAGTAATATTTATACTAAAATGTAAAATTTATGTTAAGTCCATTACACTTGCACTTTAATTCTACATATCTTTGTAAGTGCCTTTTGTAAAGGAGCTTGATGCAGAGTGGTTACATTTTTCATTTCATAATTGAGTGTTTTAAGTGGTTAAGCATAGGCCAAATTTTATCCAATTCCCGCTTGTGTTAATGGTGCTACACTCACACTGCCTTAGCACCTGTTATGGATTTTGAGTCATCTGGCAGCCCGTGGGACTTAGATAAAGAAGTACCAGGTGTCCTGCCTGTCTCTTAATTGAGATGCAATGTAAACAATATAGACTTGGCAATATGGTTATAGGAATGGATTAAAGCCCAGCTTTGTCTGTGCTGATGAATCACAGCTTTTCCTTCTGAGATGATGTTACAAACCACTGAAGAATTTGGTTAGCTGTAAGATCTGAAAAAATAACATAAAAATAAACAATATATCAAGAATTTTCCTAGAACAACAGTGTTGCAGAATGTTCATTGGGTTTTTCACTGAAAATGTAAGCAGCAATTAGAGTTTCTTGCTGTAATTTAGCAATTTTGAAAGTGCTTACCACTGTAAAAATGAAGATTTTTATGCAAACTTGGATGGAGTGAGTGCTTTTCAATATATAATGTGTTAGTAAACTAGCAGAAAGCAGTAGCATTGACTTGGAAACACCCAGTGACTGCAACTTTATCTAGCCTATGCTTACCTTGCAGGACATTTAACCATAGATTAGATATACTGGAAGTAGTCTCCTTTAGCTGCAAGATTAGTACTCTTAAAGAAAAAAAAGCTTCTAAATGGCAAAAGTATGTGTTATCATTTGCCCAATAACTTTTAATTTATCACAGATTTATTGAACTTTTTTGTAGTGTAAAAAATGAAAAGTAATTTTAATTATATTAATGTAAAGAATGATACAACTTGTGCATTTGAAACAAATTGCAAGATCTGGAATGATGGAATTAATTTATATGGATTTGTCAGTGTAATTTCTTCATGAAGAAGTATACCTCAAAAATATATATACCTCAGAAAGCCCTTTTGCAGTTACAACTTGTGTTGAAAAACAAATTTATTAAAGATGTTAGCTATTACATTTTGTTTGTTTAAATTCTACAGTGAGTTTGTTACTTGTTTTTATACTTATTTTTATTTTTAATGAGATAACTACATTAATTAGTAGATTGTCATATACATTAGTTCCTAAAATTAGTGATTTTGGGTAATTAACACTGAGTCCCTTCTGCAGTTTTAAAATGTTTTCATGAAATGCAACATAAAGTTTAGTTTTCAAATATAACTGATTCCTTTGAGTTTATGTTCTGGTTATATGAATACGAAAATATGCTGTTGCATTTTATTCCAAAAGTGCTGCTGCTAGTCTTGAAAATATGGTTTCGGTAGAGAAAAAAAATCACCTTAGAAAAATATAAATTTTTTATTCTTTCACCTCATTAGTAGTGTCAAACATAGTAATTTTTTTTTCCTTCTCTTTCATCTAAAGAGCTTGCATCAGATATGAATAGAATGATCTGAATTCTGCTTTACGAATCATCAGTGTTGTGGCTAAGTTCCAATTGCATATGCAGAAGCTGCTTTCATTTACAGCATAGCTGTGTAAACAGATGCACAGAGCAAAATATTTATATGGCATTTTCAGTATTGGCAGTATTTAAAAACCAGAAAAGAACCCAGGCTGACTTTGAGATATCAAGTTGACTTCAGTAAACAGAAGTTGCAGCTGGAAAAAAAAATATCTCTATTTGTATACTGTGCAAACTAGATGTGGAAATCGCTGAAATGCAATAAATAGGGAACACCATGATGCCACTTCTACAAAGTCACTTTTCAGAATATTAGAGAACTTTAACTATTCCTGTCAGTGTGGACAGTTGATACTCATCACCCACCTACATACAAAACGCAGCTAGTTGCTGGGCTTCCAACACTGGATCAATAGCAGCCTGACTTACATCCTTAACTCTAAGAGCCAACAAAGAGTACAAATTGCTGTGACTCAGTATGAGTTCAGGTGGTTTGACAACCACTGCACAATCTCTTCTTTCAGAGTAGATTTCCCAGAAAAAAAACTTCCATTTCTGTGATGTGTGGGTTTTGTCCTGTCTTCTTTTAGAAGTCAAATTCTGCTATGGCTAATTTTTCCTTTCAGCTTCTATAAAACCTTGGTCCTAACCTGCGTGCTTTATCTTTTTACGGGAGGCAATCCTCCTTTCACATTCTGATGTCAGGAATTGTAATTTACTAGGAAAAAATGGCCAAATAAAATTGATGCTTTCATAATTTTAAGCACCTCAAACTGTAGCAATTAATTCTGCAGGGCTTGAACTCCTTTTCAAGCCAGAGAGCAAGAAATCTCCTGCCAGCAAATTCTGTTCATTGTGCCCTACTGTTTCTTCATTTCCTTTGGTCTCCAGTATCCTGAGAGCATTTCTGTATGTTGACAGTACTACACATTTATTTTTTTCTAGAAAAGAAGAGGTGGGCTTCTGAATTTGCTGAGGGGGCAAATGTAGTAAGCAAGAAGGTGCCATTGTATGCATCTTTCCTTAAAATACTGTTAATCTATTTTATACAAATAGTGTATACATGCAATTATAAAAACTCTTGCAGGTGTCCATTGATCCTGCAAGCAGGTATCTCTCGGTGGAGGATTTTCATTTTCCAGTTAAAGATGGAACAGTGCGTTGGTTTCTGCTTGTCTAAATTATTTTCCAAATACCTGGCTGACAAAGTCACACTCTCCACAATCATATCAATATATATTGACTTCTTAGATGATTTTGCTAACAGTTGGAACTGCCAGGGATGCAGCTGTACATGTATTTCTGACAGTAGCTTGTAATTTAACCTGAAGAAGTCCATCTTGCTATTTAGAAGTGCTTTCTCTGGCTTTTTTCTAAGAGGTATTTCCAAGCAATCATCAAAACCTCCTTTTTTTTCCTAGCACCAGAATCCAAGAATCTCAGGTGCTGCATCCTATCATTATTGTGATCATATTCCAATATACAGTTATATTGTGATATACTACACACGCATGCATATATACATGTATATCTATATAAAAATGCATAAGGTTCAGGAGGGAAGATTTATGAACAAAAACTCTATGGAAGTGTCTCATTTCAGTTTTTGTTCTGAATGAGAGACACAGTGATGGAAAAACATCAAGCGAAGAGCCCACATTTTTACTCCCTTTCAGAAAGTGACTCTTTTGTTACAACTCTGCTTGGGTTTTTTTCCTAAAAATCAACAACAACAAAAAAAGGCACAGTACCAGTTTACTGGACTTGACCTGCCTATCATTAGGCATGTAGGAACGTCTGCAGCGTTGTTGAGCGTACAACTCGAAACTTTATAATTCCAGGATATTTCCTGAACTGTCGTGATCTTGATGCATTTTAAATCATCCAGACATCATCTTGAAGTCATCTACTGAAACAGAAGCCAAGGCATAACATTTTATTGTGGGTATCTGAAGTGACAAATACTTTCTTTTGACTTTTTGAAAAATACAGAGTTTCTGCCATTGATGACTTTAGGTACTTCACAAACACATTCCTTTTAAATTTTGTTGAACAAATGAATTATTAATCTGCCATTACAAATAATTCCATCACAGTTTTAGTGTGGTGATGAACTGTGCATCTCGTCAGCCCTTTTTTAAGTTTCTGTCATTGAGTAGGTTCCCCAGCATAGTACTTCCCTCCAGAAGCTGCTGAAGAAATCTGTCTTGCTGAAACATTTTCTGCATTTTTTTCCAAAAGTCTTAAGAGCATTTAGGAATGTAACCACTCTGTTGACCTGACACAAGTTCCTCACTAGTCTTGAGTGCCCCTGGTGTTCACAGGTATCTAAAGCTTTCACTGCCAACCTTCCCTGGAGATCTGCCCACTTAAGAATACACTAGTAGCTAAGTCCTTGATGTATCCTGAATAGCCAAATGCCTGGTTCATGCCTCTCTTTATCCAATGGTAGGTAGGTATTTCTTTGCCCATCTGACCTGCAAGGCAGCAAAGCTAAGAGTTTTGAAGGTACACTCACTGGATTAGAGCCCACACAAACACAACAGGAGGTAACCCCCTAGTTATATCAGTCAGCCAGGAAATGAGAGAGCAGTTTCCAATTTTGAGGCCACATCTTCTGCCTCTTACAAATCTGTTCTAACCACTGGGACCAAGGACATTTTATAATTAGGCACACTCTGTTCACTGCTGAAATTGCTTTTCGTTTCATAAAATAAGATCTCTGAATCACAGGGAAAGTACACGCTCATCTCTATAGCCTAATGGTTATGGTACTTTCCTGGGAGAAGAGAGTCTCTGGATTCCAGTCCCTGCTTAAGAAGCATTTGTTATCAAATGTTTTTTGGAGCAGGCACTAGAATTTCTTCTCCAGCCCTTTTGTGAATCTAGCACTTAGGTACTCTGATATTAGACTACAGCATTGTGAAATGTCATATCCTTAATTAAAGTCTTGGAAATTTTACTCCATGTTGAAACTGCCTTCATTTTTTTTTTCAGCCGCAGGTTAGTGACATTTTGTGCTGGTATTTCCTGGATAACTGTAACATAGTAATTATGCATCTAGTATCCAACTGCAAAATACTAAATAGATTTATTGTAATGCATTTTATTCAGTTCTAAAAACTGAGAGGTGCGAATAAGAAGAATGGAAAGAAAGCATAATCAGAATGGCAAAATAAGTCTCTGGAAATTACTCTGAAGAGATGAATTCAGCAGAAGGACTTGAAAGATGGAGGCAGCAGAAGAGGCAGAACAATGGGAAATACAGGATTTTGTGGATATTACATGGTTAAAATTACGGGAAAGGAAAAATAAAGACTAAAGAGCTAGAGATGTGGAAATATGTAGCAAACACATTTCCTCACCAAACTGAAGAATGACAAAGCCATGAATAAAAT